CCATCATAGAAATCCCTGACTTTGCCCGAGCTGTCAGCACCCAGGTTAATAAGGTTTGACAAGTTGTATCGAGTCTCAACTCATTCTTTACAGGGTTGTACACCACTAATGAGGCGTGCGTCCGTGTCTGCAGGCAACGGCTTTACTGTTGGGGGCAACGCAGTGCTATGGGGATACGCTTCAAGACTTGTTTCCATTGCCCTACGGTTTGACTCCTCTACATATCGCAGCGGCAGAAAACGACCTCTCTCTAGCTGGTTTTCTGTTAAGTGAACAGTCACAGAAGCCGCTACACTCAAATGCACGCTGCCGAAAATGTCTGGGAAGGGCAGCATCCATTAAATTTCCAGCTGAGGTTCTTGGGGGATCCAATCAACCTCATGAGTTGCATGTTCAATTTCCCATCTGCCGCAGCTGCCTACTTAAATCGCGCGATGATCGTGGGTGTACTGCGGCGTTCTACTGTGGGAGTTACAGCATGCTCAGGCTCTTGTTAGACAGTGGCACACCACTCGATTCACGTAGCAGCACAGGAGATACACTGCTTCATGCCCTTGTCTACAATGCCCGCCGCTTCGCATGTCCAGCCACCGATTGTACTGTAAATTTACCTGGGGTGATCAAAGAAACGAGCTATACACGACGCGTAAAGTGCAAGTGTCCCGAATGCCAAGGGACGCGACCCTCTCGCGCGCCTGCCGTCTGTCGGATAGTTTTGCTTCTTGAGCGTATAGAAGATAATTCTGCTAAATCCATAATTGGTGATAAATCCGAAGGGTTGAGCAAAACCCACGCTTTCGTCAATGTGTGTAACAAAGCAGGATGGACAGCGCTGCATCTGGCGGCAGCCAGAGGATACTCCGACATCTGCAGAGTGAGCAAGGGGAACCAACGACGAACTCTCACAGTAATAGTGAAATTTAACAACTGACTCCCGCCGCCTCTTCACAGCGCGCACCATCTACGCAAGCTCTGGTAGAGGGCGGTAGAATTCGAACGAACCACATGGCTAAATGATACACAGGCTCAGCGACTCAGTCCTTCAATGTTTAATCTCTCCATATGATGATTGCCCTTTCGTAGGTTTTGCTCGACTGCGGCGCAGATGCTTGCCTCCGCACCAAGAAACGCAAATTCACACCCGATAAAGTTGCTGCGCTCAACAAGCACCATTCGACAGCCAGGTCAGCGAAGAGTAACCATTCTTTGATGCTGTAGCTCATATGCGTTGACGTTGAGCACCTCAGTCTTCCGCAGAGATACTCATTTCGTAACGACTACATTTGTGCTGTCAGGTTGCTACATGGCAACATGTGCACCTCATCGACCAATCTATTTCAGCAGCTCGTCACCAGACTGAGACAAAGCTCCGAGAGGGACCCGCTCTTGTCGGTGCTAGCACTCTGCTGGATTGGGCTCTTATGTCTGCATTGGCGCGGTGTAGTAGAAGCCCTCCAAGTTTACTTCCCCAACATGTTTGGGCACTTAGAATGAACGTTCAACGCACATAGTTCAAATTCTGAAGCTTCCAAAACCAACCCGTCAGCCACGTTGAGGCTACGGAAAGCGCGGCAAAAGCTGGTGCCTGTTGCTCGAAGAAGCGAATGTCTTTTGCTTGCACGATGGTGAAGCCCAAGCTCTTCTAGCCAACTTAGGTTCTTGGCTCCTCTTTTATGTTGCAACCCGCACATGATTTTGTGTGTTTCCATGCACCTTTTGCCTTGTGCGGATGCCTCTTTAGCGCTCGCCGCTCAAGCATTTCCGGAACTGGAGGTTGTACGTTGGTTCTCCTGCGTATGATGAAGGGTGGCACTACAGCACTCTGCTGAGTCCTCCCTTCTGCACAGGCTGGAAAAATTACTCGCTGTACTGGCGGTCGTGTAGAATCTTGCTGCTCCAATGGCGGGCAGTGCATGTTCTGTTTCACTGCTTCCCTTACGGCTGGAGCAGAACGTTGGTGAATGGGTTGTCCAGAAACGAAGCTTGCCTTCGGAGGGGCAGATTGTATCCATTCAAAAATAATCTGTGGCTCCCTCTGTTGCTCCGCGAAGTCCGTTACTGGGGGGTACTTCACAGAAGCTACACATGGTTCACGTACCATGGAGACAGTATCTGAATTGGTTGCATCGGCACCTGAGTGGTAACTCAGTGCCTGCTCTTTTGGGGAGACCCCCAAGATCATTATTTCCTCACTCCTATGTGCTTTCCTTTGGTTTGAATCCATATGCAAGTGTTTCATTATGCTCCTATCTGTTTGCACACAGTGTTGTTGCCCTCTTTGTGGCCACTCATCCAGTTGTGGAGCTTCGCGTTGCTCTGTTGGAGCGTAGCGCTGCCCAGGAAGCAGTAGTCGCGGGTCCGGGGGTGCAGGTAGCTCGCCAGGGTCGAAGTCGCAGCTAAACACTGCACAACGAGCAAAGACAGACAGTATAAAGCTGTCAGGTCACTTTCCAGGGGGCCCATAACGTGATATTATACACTGTGGTTTCCACGAACAGCTGAAACCCACACCCCTGGGAACGAATACGCCCACCTCGCACATAAAGCAGCTCGATAGCTGCATCAGCTACTTTGATTTGACTACTCTTTCGAGCGGTTATGGGCATCCCTCCTGAGCACCTAACCAACACATTACATCCATTAGATTCCATATCCGGATGTAAAGCTGAGCTAGGCTATCAACATGAAGAATTAAATAGGCGCAAAGGAGGACTCCTGCGACGAACTCGTGTTCTTGCTATACACATGTGAAGACACACTTACTTATGCTGCATATTTTGTAAAAGTCTGACATGCGCGGAACCGTCAAAGATTTCTCTGGTTCTCCATTTATAAACGGAAAGACGCGCATGGCAGAACCTTGTTGCTGACCATCTTTTGCTTCGCCCACTAGTGCTTTCTCCTTCACACACTTCAGAGTGACTCTGTAAACCACATAAGAAAGGCACACCCCAAATGTTCTTCACACACAGAATCGTGCCTATCGTGAGTGCTAACGTTCACCTATTTCGCTCACCTAATAAAAGGGGCCTCCCTGCAACAAAAACCCATGACCATGTGCACATCAACGAAAAATGTATGCGACATGCAAGGCCATGCATTTGAAGATAAATTTCATAGGAAAGCGCATATAAGGTGCTGTGTGCTCAAATGTACTTCGCCGGTGTCGTCTGGTCGACATCTCGCCTGAAAAACGAAAAAAAGTGCTCCACAGGCGGATCTGGAGAGACCCCTGATCCACGCACTGCACGAACTGGAGCTGCTGTTCCAACTCCTATGTCGACTCGTTGAACTCTGTCGGACTTCTCTCGATGCACTACCCAATATCGCGCACCCAGCATAAGCGCGCATCTGTGTGGAATTTCCTAATAGACCAACACACGGTACAATAGGCAGAGGCAAAAGATGTTGAGAAGATGTGAAGATGCTGGGATTCCTTAGTTTGCTAAGCCACAACGACGCCACAAAGTTAAAACATTGAAAAAAAAAACGCTTCCCCTGTGCAGCCCACGAATAAAATTTGCTCTGGTCCTATCCCACCCGTTGGTTTCCGAACGTCTTGCGCTAAACGTAACACACACACACACACCATATAGGCACACCATATAGGCGAATAGAGAAGCCTACAGTAACCATTCACGGCCTAAAATGAGGAACTACGCCAGGTCAGGATGAATTGTCTGGTCTGTTAGACCTACTCGGGTGCAACCGAATGCCCGAACATCGCTGTAGGCGCCGTCTTCCTTCACCTTTGTACAGACCAAAGGATCATACACGAAGAAGACCTGCTGGTGTGAATCTATATTTTGGTGATACGCTTTGTTATAGCCATCTTCGTTAAGTGACACCATTCTCGAACCATCCGTTGTAAGTATTGGCAGCCTCAGGACGACATCGAGCGTGAAGTGATCCGTCCTTCCAGCGGGTAAAAAGCCTTGCAGGCCTGCATTCAGAAATCGGGGTCAATTGCTCAGCGGGCCCTTTCTTGACATCTACAGGTATGGGTGGTCTCACTGTAATCTGACTGAACACTAATATGCAAATCTGTTAATAAAATAATGAATGGTAGAAGGCGCTTGCCATCTCCAGTTGTCCACGAAACAGACATCAAGCATTTCGAAACAGTTTATACCTAGCTCTTGCTTCGTAGAGAAAAATAGTTCCTATCGTTTTCTTACAGCCGCTTTTATTGACATCAATGGGCGGTTCAAAGACAACGGGTGTAGGAGGCAGCAGGTAGCGGAAAACTCCACCATGAAAGCCTTCCCCTCCAATGGCAGTATCTGCTCGCAGAAAGAAACATGCTCAAACGATCCTGACCACGGGACTTTATGCCAGTCACCGATAGTTCATTCAGGAAACAAGCGTACTTGTCTACACTAAGACACGGAGCTCACCATCTCTCACTTCTTTAGGGATGCGCGGGTAATCCCCACGCTGTAGAACAGTGTGGGCTGAGCTGCCTTCACAATACAGCAGCAAAAGCGGCTACAACGAACAAGACAGAAAACATGGAGCTCCTGCACTTCTCAGCGTAATAGCTATGCACGGCGAATAAATTGCGACAGTCGCAGTGAAACGGCTCAGGGTTATAATGGCGTACGGCAGGATTAACGCTGGGATCTTGATTCCTAACGCGCTGAGAAGCAAACGAAAAACAAGAGTATAATGGCTGGAGACTGAATAGTAAGCAATATCCAATAACCGCGTTTCACGAGAAAGACGAAATATTTGCTGCTTCCCACACTTGCCTCGTGAGAAATATTAGCGATCTTCAAATCTTGTCGGATGCCTCCGTAGAAATATGGTGCTTCTGTTACCGGCCTTGTGGAAGCTTGGTGCACCAGCTGCTGGTGCTGCGTTTGTGGTGACAGCTCTTGGCGTATAGGCTCTTGTTGGTGCTGCTGATTCTGCGAATCCAGGGATTGCTCGGAGCACCCACATTCCATTTGAGGCAAAAATTGCATAGGCACAACAACAACATTGTTGTGAAAAACCGTCTACTGCGAAGTCTGTGGCAACAGTGTGAGATTCACATTTAAAGAAAGTACCAGCTCCTCCGAAGGGTCTTGAATGGATTGATGCTGCAGCTGCAGGCGCTGCACTCTTTCCTGGAGCTCTTGCACTTGCTGTTGCAACCGGAGCTCTTGCTGATGAGAAAATTCAAGGAGTTTTGCTGCCTCTGCAAGTTGCGAATTAGCCGTCTGTAATGTCCTGCAGCAAAAAGCAAGGCATGAAACTGCACGCAAGAAACTCGACAACAATTGCCGAACCATCTGTGTGCGTAGTCATGTATTTGCACGTACGACTTAGCAGAGCCAGCAATGCACAAGCAGCGTGTAGATACTACTACACTAATATTCATGCTGCGACTGATGTAAAACAAGTCGCCCGTGGAACTAGGAGGGCACCATACCGCCTTCTGCCGATATCTACAAGCCTCCTGAGTTGGGGCCACTGATCCATCGCCAAGTCAAACAGCGGTTTTCCAAGTAAGTTGTCAGCATCCCCTGAGTTTATAATGACGTCAAGTTCCTTGTTCAACTCAAGTGTTGAGCTTCGTGTCACATCTCTTTCCCACGTTCCAGGTCGCACATCTGCATACCTTGCAATACCTGCTAGCGTCCTGTTCACTGCAGCTGGCACATTACCCCCCTCTAGTCCTGAATACAAAGGGTTGGGGAGAAATTCGCACCCCTATTGGGAGGCAATTCCTCACCAGCAGTAGATGAATGGAGAACAATCGATATTCGTTGTTTGTGCACAAATCCACATTGTAGACTCTGTGTTCCCCGCCGACAAAGCAAGGACACCCACCTTCATACGCATCCAATAGTACTCACCAGCAAAATATTTTATTCGATCAATCCAATCCTCAAAGCGGCGCATCTGTAGCAGCAAAGCAAGAGTGCGGCCAAGCAAGAACTGAGCTTAGCCATAACCTCTAAAAAATAGGCCCGTTCTGGCAATAAAACAAACGACAATGGAGACAGGATTTGGCTTTGCACAAACTTGCACAAATGCAATTTACGTTTGTACTGTCCCTGATGAGAGGAATAGCGATAGATAGATGACCTACCCTCCAGCGGAAAGAGAAGTAACGAAAACAATTTAGTCCCACTTCTTTGCTTTTTTCTCGAAAAGATAGAGCCTTTTGCTCTCGCGTCATATACCTGTCAGTGTCGTGCATAGCTTGCGTTCCGCTGCGTTTTGCGCGGAGACGCTCCAAATTCAACATTTCTTGTCGTTCATATTGCTCAAGACGCAAGTACCGCGTATCAATGAAGTATGCCAACTGCTGCCTCCAAGCGTTTAAATGCAAAGAAACCTGGGTCTTGACTGCGTTAGACAACTTGTGTATCTCGTTCCACAGTTCACCCTCCTCCAGTGCCTGAAAACGCAAAAGCACCATGGCCATATTCCAACTAGGCGATCTACTGTCTGTATCGGCCTTTTCTGACTGGCTATCAGAACACAATCGCAAGGTGAAGTCTCACATCAACTTGCAGATCATTGTCATTAACGGATACGCCTTTCCGGCTAGCTTCGATAGCTGCAAGAGCGTGACGGTCCCGAAGCTCCTCCACTTGCCGAAGCAGCTGACGCCTCCGAGCAAGGTCCCTCTCAAGCGCTACAACATCTACAGTCTTCCTCTCTTCTTCAATGGCGGACAGTGCCCTATGTGCGTTTTCGACAGCGCGGAAGAAACGTGATATCCACATAGTCGGTGTCGTTTCTGATCTAAAATGAAACGTAACAGCACGCACAAAAAGCCACATGCAAAGACAGGAGATGCTATTCGCCTTCTAGTCCCGCCTAAAAATCACGGCATTTCTTCGAAACCAATCCTTCAACGCTATCTTCCCCAGTTCGCATTATATATTCTTCCTTCTGCTCCACCAGAAAAGAATTTTCACTGAACGCCTGTATGCTACGCCGACGTGGCTAACTAACGGCAGAGGACTCACTCGCTTTCAACTTCTTCGATGCACTGATGAACCGCCTCAAGAAATTCTCCCAGCCAATTATTTTTGTTTAGAGCCGATGGAATCAATGAAAAGCCAAGGCAGTTGTTGTAACATACGGAATGTACAGTGTGAACCAACAGAGGAAAGTTGCACACCAGCAAATGCACCTGCTTGCGCCTCTCCACTTCTGTGTCACCAGGAAGAGCCCACCGGAGCACGTCCAGATCAAGTAACCACGCCACCCAGCTGCATTAACCAGGCGCAGGCGACAACATTTTAATCTGTCGGATTCAGTTCAACAGATCAATGAGCGCACGGCTTGCTCTGTCCGCTAAAAGCTCCACGCAACAGGAAAACACACAGAATGAACCGACAGCACCATGCCCATTGACACTCGTGAAATACAAATATACTGGCCGGAATTGAATGTCAGACGAACGAAGCTTTGAGCCATGCCCTAACAAGAAAGCAAAGCGCTAACGTCTCAAACCTAACAAAGGATCTATCTTACCGTGCACCGTATCTACCTGTTTTCTACGCAGCACCACCATGAAAAAGGTGCCACTTGCAGGGGTTCTTCCTGCCCCTTTAATCCCTGCGTATCGCCTCTGTTTTGCCTGCTTGGCGTGGCTCACGGTGACTAGGCTCTAACTATGCAGTAGGCTTCTAACAGCCTATTTAGCACAAGCAGCTTACTCGGTGTTATCGAAGACAGGGTCATCTTCGAAAACATCGAGCACCAGGGAATCTAAATCGAAGCTTCCCTCCGCCTTGACGTTGCAGTATTCTCCTGATAGTCCACTTTGCAAACGAAAAACACATCTATCTTCCGGAACGGGAGCCAGGTAGCGAAACCGTTTGGTCGCACGTTCCCAGCCAGCTTTCCCGCCACAAACGCAGACCCGCCTGCCGTCCCTGTGCTCATTCAGACTGGACACTGTATGGCCACCAGCTAATCTTAGATTGCTGCGGCCATACTCAAATCCCACACAGTCTGCGTACGCAGTGCCAGTCAGCTCGGCGGAACAGGCGAAGAATGACTGTCCAGAAGGCAGTGGCTCATACCCTTTTCCATATCCACTTGATTCGAAACCGCACGCGCTGCCAGTTCCGAAATCGCAGACGAGGCACTCCTCTTCTGTTGTTGTATTTAGAAGATCGTCGCCGCTTTGTGAATGTGAGTGGCCTTTAGTAGCCACCCTAACATTTCCTGTTGACTGGATGTTCGGCGCATTGACTCGGGTGCACGCATCAGGAGGTCGTATCTCGCCATCTTCAACCTCATCATCTTTCATTTGTAAGACTGTCTCGTCGTGCTGTGGAAACTCCTGTTTGTTTGGAAAGGGCGCCTCACGGATGTCACCAATCTGAGAAGGCAGTTTTACGGTAGCCCCGCTCTGGAGGCATCGCATCCACTGCACACGTCGCGCTATGTGTTTATGACGAAGCCGCGCAAAGGTCTTAGCTAGGCAACATAGCAGCTCAAAGAGAAACCAGCACAATTCTGAGTCCCGCGAGAGTAGGTTGAGGCAATACTGCAGTAGCAAACCCTGCCCGTTCGCCAGCTTCTCACCCTGATGCAGATGCACATTTGACACAAAGTTCCTGGCTAATCTTCTGAACGGAAAGGCCAATGTATGGCCCACCTTTGCCCCACAGTTGTACTTCTCCGCTCATTCATGAATGGCGCAAACAGTGGCGTTTGGAAACAAGTTTACTTTTTGGGCTAAACACTACGATGAGGGAACGCATGTGTACAACGGCAGCAATGGCAGCCCACACAATGAAGAACGATACCAATACCATGCAGTGTCTCTTGTCAAGTTTCTTAAAATTATCCTCGACGTTAGCGTTCACCTTGCGCAGAACTGCACAGTGCTCTAGACAGAGTTGTTACACTGCTTATTGATTCACCTCGTCAACGAGCTCAGCTATGTCATGGCTTTCTGCACGGCAGTGCCAGAAGTGTTCTTGCTCTCCGTGAGGAGCAAGGGGCCCCTTTACGAAAGGCAAGCCACACTGGCTGCAAAAAACGAATCGCATTTAGCACGCTGACTATGTTATTAGGAATACTGCAGCAGACTTCTCCCCCGAAAATCTACGACTCTGTTGGAAACTCACTCGCACTTGCCCGTGTGAAGGTCTAGTAAGTTCATTTCCAAAAGGTATCGTCTCGCCTTGCACACATCTTCATGACGTTGACAGTCAACCCCTAACAAACATGCAGCTCGTCCTCCACATCCCATGACCGCGCGCATCCCACTTGAAACTTCGTTCACAGATGAGGAAATTTCGGTACGCCAGAGTGTAGAGGACTGCCGAGGCCGCCCTGTTAAACTGCCTCAAGGTTTGTGCAGGGCAAAATGTTTACACGGGTTATATGCGTTCGGCCCACAGACTGGCATACCAGTCGCATGAACGGGCAGGCCCTGCACGCCGAGAAGCTCCGTCACTTTCGCATAGGGGCAAAGCTCGTTGCTGCAGAAAACACAGCAGGCGGCAAAATGCAACTGGGTCGTCCGTTAACTTATTTTGGCATGCCTCTATGCATGCCAATAAAATTGGACGGGCGACCCAGTTGCAGGGCTGATATTCACTACCGGAATCATGAGTGTCCGCGATGTAAATGGGCTTTGAAGGGCTCACCAAAACCTCTTCGACCAAATGGCTCTGTCTTTCTCGACAAGATGCCTTGAGGTAACGGCATGCATGCGTTGGAGCTCGAGTTGCATTTTTTCCATCCTGGACGCCAATAGCTGGGAACTCTTGTTAAGAGCCGTAACATGGAATTGCAACTCAGCAATCTTCCTCTCTGCCTTCCGCCGAGCCTCCTCGGAGCGCTTGACCTACGAATTCAAGGACCAGCAGCGAGGACAACATCAAAAAATATCAGTTAATCGCTGGTTGGAGGCAAAACGTGGCAGCAGTTGACCTTTGGATCCAGTTATTTGAGGGCCTCACCTGCGTCTTCAAATCTAACGTGCGAAGCTGGTACTCTCTCCTAAAAATTTCATTTAAACTTCTTAGATCCGAAACTATCTCCTCTAAATTACCTCTGCCCGCAAACCCAAATGAAAAGGTCGGAAACGAGTACTTGGAGCAGAAGACAGCCCCAGGGATAGCAAGCAAAGCCCTTGAAGCACTGGTAGCTTTCAAAAGCTACTAAACGAGCACGCAAAAATACTACTTCATGCAAAAGTTCAGGAGAGTGACAATAAGGCCTGTTCTGGTTAGCAAACCAACGGCAACCACACGATAAGGGGAAATGCCTACTCTTTGGCAAGAGACCTTGTAACCCTGTCCAGCGCCTCAAATATAGCCTGTCCTCTTCCTTCTTGTACCAGGCGCCCTTTCAGCTCGTCTACCCATTCCTTCGCTTTGCTACGCTGCTCTGCCGGGTCGTCACATAAATCTAGGCGTGCCAGTAGGTGGGAAACTTCTTCTGCTGCCCTCTCGTCTGCCTGAGAATGAGAAGTGATTGCACTGAATGCTTACGCTCTACAAACTCAGCTCATCATCCAGCCTGGTCCATGCTGCAGGCGCATTGACAGCTACGTGCAGCAGCCTGCGCCTATTCTATGCCAAGCCCTATTCTATACCACGCCTCTACCCCTCCGCGCCCAGTTAATGACATACGCCGTGAAAATCGCGAGTGGCAGTCGAGCAATGAACTCAGGCTATGTTGCTGATGAGATGCTCATATGCCAACTTCGGTACTTTTCATTCTTACGAGAGATTTTTCCAGCCGAGCGTGACCCTCCCTGACGCTGGCTTCTTGGTCTATTGCATCCCTCTTGTTCTGAAATGCCATGTTAATCATTGCCTTCATGTGAAGAAACGTTGACGACAGCAGGGTTTCCGTCGACTGGCTTTCCTGTAAACGAATGCATTGCCTGCTCAAGAAAATTTAAATCCAGCGGTCCCCTCAAAAATGTACAGGGGTTCTTTATGCGTCAAAAAGGAAGCTGTGGCAACTCGTTCACACAGCAGCACAGCATTCATACTGAATGCATGTGCATGCAACGCTCATGATACGCGCAACAGTACAAATGGGTGAGCAGGATGCCATTCTGTCTTGTGACCCAGGGCCGTCGTCAGAATGCCACCAAGAGGGCTTCACAGCCAAGTGTCCTGGACACTGAAGAAGTGGCGATGAAATATTGTGAGCATGACAGTAAACCTATTCTCACCGTCCAGTAGTGCGGTCCGTAAGAGAGGAGGAGCTCCTCGCCATTTCTCACTGGTCTGCTTGTCACGGGAAAGAAAAACGGAAGGCCCGCAATTACCACCATCAGACTGTGGCAGTTGTTCACATCGCTTATCTGTTGAGAAAATTTGCAGCAAAACACAGGCACAAAATATGAACTGAGCATCATGAAGCTGCGTTGGGCTCGCTGACGAGGCAAGCTGTGAAATGCACTGGCACAGACGCTAAGAAAGCCAACTGCACAGCTTCTTGCAGCGTCAGGAGCTTCTAACTGAAAAGACATCTCTGTCAGATGCTTACGTTGGCTGAGCCGTGAGCATCATTCATCATGGAGTACTCGCTTCGGTAGTCCATGGCATCTAGCTCTGGTGGGTCTGGCTCGGCGCCTGTGCCGCTGTTCATTCGAATGTCTGGTTCCTTCGTGCGAAAGTCTCGCTCTGGCATTACAGTACAGAAGGAAAAAGTTGAAATCGAGTCCTTCGTCTGAACTGCATGCTGTTTTTAATTGGCAATCACTCCGCTATACACATACACCTTCAAAAGAAAATCTTGGACAAATCAAAGACCTTTTCGTGAATACGTCACTAAGTACACAGCGTTTTTAGCAGCGCTCCTTCGAACAGGGTCAACGGTTAGTTTTCGAACAATCGTGGACATGTACGTAGTGCACTCAGCAGCATTTCCGAATAAAAGGTGAAGCCCTGAGTGCCTCTCTGTGAAGTCGAAAAATCGCAGTTCACCTATTTTAGTGGCTTCTTCAAACGATTTGCAAGCAGCCAGCCGACTCAATGTCCTCTGCACGTAGTTGTGGATTTCATCTAGGCTTGCGAGGCTCGTGGTTTTGGACTTCACAAACAGACAAACAGCGGCACGCAACGGAAAACGAAAATTGTACTGCCATAGACAGCATATAGTGGGATTAAGAGTGTGTTATCAGTCATTAATTTTTTGTGGCGACTCAAATATTTTCTCAGAAGGTGCTATTCGTCTACACAGCTTATTCACTCCTTCGTCTTGTATTAAAAATGGACCTGCGTTGCTCACTTGCCACTCCTTTTCCTGCAGTTCACCTGCCATTGAGTCAGCATACTCCTGATCATCCCACTCATTATCGTTATCAAACCCTGCCCTAGCTGCAACAAAGTATCAATCGCCATTTCATGCATGCACGTCATCTCGACTAAGTAAGATTCAGCCCCGACTGAACACGATGTAGCGTGTCATAGGCCTTACGCAGGCTGTTCTGGTATACCTTTGATCCTCATGCTGCTGTGAAAGCTACAGGCACAGGTACTGCATTCGAAGTCCCTAGTGTCTGCACGCTCTGCTAAGCTGCTGCAGTCCCCGGTAAACTGAGCTAAAATAGTGAAATATACTCTTTCAATTGTGAAACCTGACACTTCCCCCCTCGCTGATAACCTATATAGGCTGTACTCTAGTCATAACGCCATGTTATCAATGCCCTCAGGCACCTCAGTGCTCGGCCGCATATGTACATTTTGATGTGATCCTACTCTGCAACTAATGATGCATGGATCAAATATTCACTTCAAGTCAAGAAGCTCCCACTGTGGCAACAAAAGAAGCATGGAAGAGGATTCCCTTGGAGTACATCGATCGACAATACTCACGAATGCATCCTAAATCTTGCACAGACATCACACGAACAAATGTATCGCACCTTCTTCCTTATCTTCCTGCGCTTCCCACTCTCCAATGCAACTGAGATTGTCAACGCGAAATGCGTACGACTGTCTCGGCGGTCCTTGAAGATTCCTCAAGTGGTCGTGAATCATCTGTGGAGAACACTTTGCAGCAAACGCCACTTCTAATCAAATTTAAGGCGGCCAGTAAACGAGCAGTACTCACAACCCATGAGAGTTCACCTTCTAGTTTAAAGAAACACAAAGGCAAAATATTGATGTTAACTGCACGTCCTCTTCTGGATCTCCTCCTGTGCACCATGCAATTTATGCTAGCCAATGGAATCGATGACAGTCAAGTCATGACATGCGCTGCACTCTTCTTCCGACCATTATATACCGCAGTACGAGCTGACCTGCATCATCGCCAACTCTCCAGAAGGACGCAAGACTCCCCCATAGGGTGGACCCAAAATTGTGGCTGCTGGCAAAGCATCATATTCTCCCAAAGAAGCAACTGCTCGAAAGTGTTGTGGTACTTCTTGACCTTCGAGTCCCACCCTCATTTGATGCTCTTCTTCGGCTAGCTGCACAGTGTGCGTTGCGCTGCACTTCTCAATGGCAATAAAGTTTTGTCTCCCCTCCATACATCGAATAATCTGCGTAATTACACAGTCGCTGGAAAATACAATGATGCGCTGACGCCCCATAAGAGGCTCCAGCAAGCCATCCTGTAGTTTCAAAGCCTCAAATGATTTGCACTCAAATTTTGCATTCTTCAGAAACAACGCACAGCGGAAAGCATGTGGCTTGAGAAGAATTTTAACAGCATGCAACAAAAGCAAGTGCGCGCCACATTTTGGGGTTTCTTGTAGTGATGGCGCTACTGGCACTGGCATTGCCGTAGTTAGTGTTTCTTCAGTGTGCAGCTGAGGGGCTCCACCTGTTCCTTGAGAGAAATTATCACTTTGGCACCGCAGTGATTTGTGGGCTTCATCCCTTCTTGTGCCAGCACTCCCCTGAGGTCTTTCACCTGGCCAAATACTCCTATCAGGGACTGGCGCGGCAACAGGATATCCTCACATTTGAGCTGCACGTAAGCAGCGAGACTCCTCCAATAGACAGCACATTTATAAACTTCTACAATTTTGGAATGTCATCTGTGTCCATGCATAAAGTGCACTATGAGCAGTAAATTCCATGAGCATTCTTACGAGCCCGATGTTGCAAAAAATTCACTTGCCTTGCCACTCGGGTACGGGTAAACAAGCCCTAGGAACTGAGACTTTCTGCTAAATTTGGGAAGCGTCACGCGCTTAGTACAGAAGTGCCCTCCTCCAAGGCCCTTCGACCAGAATTTCCACTCTAAAGATCCCACATAACAGCAGACAAGGCCCGTTGTGGAACAGTTAAACGTCAGATCTATGCACCGCATGCCCCGGTAAAACCAACACACAAAATGTATAACAGCCAGAAAAGAAAACTTTGACGCGCGCAGATCACCGGACGGGGGCCTTCTCTTTGAGTCAGTGTACCGTCTGGCCTCTTCTGAAATTTCTCCCTCAAGTCTTCATGTCTTCCGTAAGCCTTTAAACGTTTTTCTCGGCCAACAGTCTTTACGCATTCAATGTATTCGTCCATTCTGTAAATTTTCCAAGCAAGATGGAAAAGTTCAACCTAAGAGATGCTGCTGGTTGCTTCGATGACTCTACGCAGTGCTGTGTCCAGCAAGAGAAACTCACCGTTCAACATCGACGTATGTCCCCACACCATAAAGAGCGTGTCGAAGCCAATCTACCTTCTGCCCCTTCTCGTTGACTGCGCTATCTGTGCAATTGGCAGCACAAGCGAAAGAACAGGACGCCAGCAAACAACGCTGAACTTCTTTTGCTGAGAACCTGGCGAACCGCGCGAATGATCCAAAGAAACGTGCAGAGAAGACCTTTCTCTCACCAGGCAGAGGCAACCAGTCTGGTCGTCCTTTAAATGCTCCGCCCCATAAGGCTTCATTCCCAACCTCACGAGCTTTGACGCGTGGGACTTCACGCGATGCACTTGATCGGCCTCGACCTCTCCCATTTGTCGGTCCGAAATCGAGCCGACGTACATCCAGCACTCTGTCTCCCGGCTTCAAAATGGAAGACGTTTTCTGGGTGTTCCTCGACTCGGTTCGCCTGCGACATAGCAGGCTCGACGGGAGTTCAACCAAGACGAACAATCCACAATGTCGACTAACAATGCGGAGTAAAAAACCCACAAGCGATCAGTGTGGATTCTAAAACAGTTGAATTATGACGTATAGAACAATTTTGCTTCTGTCAGGGCAAACGGATGCTCGGATACCGCACTGACTAGCACTGCGCAAGACATGTCCCCTGCAAAACTGGATCACTCTCAGTGTCTCACAATACTGTAGCGAACAATTACCTAAGGGATATGTACGGCCTTGTTTTGTTGTCTAAGCCTTGTCTTTCCGTTTGTGGGATACAATGTCGTCCTAGGTTCTCCAAAGCGCGCCGCTTCGCCGCAGCAGCCGGCGAACCGAAGCTAATGGCATTGGGTGCTCCTGTAAGTGCAGTTTCTTGTCCGACAGATGCTATTTCATTCTCTGCGAGAGTCTCTGAGTCGTCTTCCCCGCCATTTGATGGTAGGGTCTTGCGCCCATCCCGCCGCGACGCCATAGACCATGTTGCAACTTCACGGGATTCTGCGCCGTGCCCGGTAACATCTGGTAGTCCGCTGACCCCCATGAAGACGCAGTTTTCATCTGACTTTCGACCGGAATCAGGCATTTGGGCCGGGAGAATTTGTGGATTCTTTTGAGGGCAGACAGAACTGTGTGGGGGACAGTGCCTCGCAACGTTACAGCCACGGCGTACAGTTGGTTTCACCTTGAAAGGTTTCCACGCAAGGAGGTGTATGGCTCACTGTGCACCAGTTACTTCAGTTACGGGCCGGTTATTTGGCTCAGAGTTTCGTTTGGTCCTTCACCACGTCTCTGGAGTGACGGCAGCGCGCCGCGAGCCATGGACCGATCCCTCTACTGTACTTTAGCATGAAAACAAGAACCACATATATACATAGCTCACAAAAATATGCAAGAATTTCAATAGAAGACACACAAAACACTTAGGAAGTTCTCAAGGGCACTCCTCGTCCGTCAGCCCCAAGTCATACCGGTGGGCAGACCACTGTGCAGTCTTCACTGTTTCATTCACAGAGGCTACTAAGCGATTCAGTTGAAGTCTTGCTCTCTTGTTTTTAGCACAGACGCGCTGCAGAACTTGAGAACTGCTTGCTTTGATGATGGGAGCAAGTGCCGCGATGTTGTCGCGTCGTGGTATGCCATTGCCCCCGGCAATCGTCCTTCTATAGATTTGGCTAATGAAATGGGATCAGCCGCAGGCCTTGTAAAATGGCCAGCCAAAATTCAAGTGTTTTATTGACTGAGGAGGCGTGAGGAAGGGTGCCGCGCCGAATACTCAAAGACGCGGTATCGATGTTTGCACGGCGATGCTGGAAAAATGTGGCATACAGACTGAAGACTTGAAAACCTCCAGCAAAACTGGCCGGCCGTATTTTAAAAATACGGCCGGCCAGTGAGAAGAATGAATTGTTGCCTCCAATATGGAAAGAATTATCCGGGCAACACCTGCAACCAAGACCCTCTATTCCTACGGCGGATGGCGTGCTCGTGCCCACCGTCCGCTCTTTAAACAAAACTCCGGACATTAAGGTTACACTGCGTTTCTCCCGATATTTTGACCTTTTTGATGGGTTTTTGGTTGTACGTACTCATACTCCCGCTGCCCCTGCTCGTAGCCACTTGGAATACTGTTACGTTTGCTCTGTACGGTCTAAAGTGAGAGACAGACAACTTCCGCGACTCCGCCATTCCTAGGCGGCTTAGGTAAAATAAGATTGCAATAAAATGTCATGATGGCCACGCCGCTGTGAATGCAGCGCAACGTAAATGCCTAGTACAACTTGACAGCTGAAGTCCTTTTCAAACACTGGCTAGTCTGATCCGCAGCGTCAGGGATCTGGCTGGAAACAGGAACCACACTACTCTATGCAGCTCATACTTACCCCGCAACGGGGAGAATATGAGTAGCGAATACTACGTGCTAACAAGCACACGTATGCAGGTGCCACAATACATTGCAAAAATATGCCAGGGACAGAGCACAGTGCTGTAGTTATGGCACGCTGCAAACGGCACACGACAGATATAACAAAAAACTGGCAAGGCCAAACGGCGGTATATGCAAACGCGGATAAATATGCGTACAAACTAGTGCGTGTATACGCGCAAATGCACTGCTGCACAAAACAAGTGAACAAGCACACGTAAAAAGCTGGACACACAAACGTACACGCACGTAAGACCGAGTCTAGTCGGTCTCTGCAGCCACTAGCTTAGGATCGGGTCATCTGTTTCTTGGACGCTAGGAGAGAACAATGAATACCAAGTGTGTGGCGTGGCCTGGCTGCTTGCACAGCTGAGGCTGGTGCGGCTCGAACATTCGAATCCAACAAAACGCAGAGTTGCATATATAGGCCTCAGCACTCTTTGCAACAGAAACCACTGCACCGTTGGTCTAGCGCTTTGGCGGCTAAAACTGCTGTCTTTTGCTTGACGCGATTCCCCTGGCACGGATGTTCTCTGATGGAGTAGTTGCTTGGATCAGGGGATCGCCCTCCAGCACCTCGAGGCGCGTCTGATGGAGCGGCGGCACCTGAAGGTAATACAAAATTACACGCTGGCATTTGATAACAGGGGGTTGATATGTCTTTAGGCTTGTCATGGGCCTCTGGTCTTCAGTCAAAACCTGCAGGGTGTATGTATGGGAGACCACCACCGAGAAAGACAGAGTTCATCAGCTGCTGTAGCCAAAGAAACCGTTAGGAACGACGATCATGGCAGATATGGAGAAGCCTCATAACTCACCCATAAGATGGCCCTGAACCGAGAGGAGTTGTTGACGTGCTCGTTCTCCAGCCGAAGTACAACCCACTGCAACAGCACCCCCCACAATTCTTAGTTGTGCTTGCTGATTTTGACTCTTTGCCTCTTGGAAAACGGCGAAACCAAGCCGCGTGGAAAAGTCGAGACGAGGGAGTGCTGCTGCAAGATGTCAGCTAGCTAGATATGACTGCAGACGGCTTACCGCTCCTCGTCTCATGATTTCAATAACGGAGATAAACAACAATACCAAGTTGCCGCTTAAGGACTGTACAGACAGGACAGCAACACATGAATATGCTTGTCGAGCCTGTCCAAAGGATATGCACGAGGTGCTTTTACATTCCTATGGTTTGTATGCGTAGACTTGTAGTTCTAGGATTTCTCTTCTAATGCTGCTGCCGCTGTGAGTGTTTGTGAAGGTCCCTTCTCCACCTTGTTGCCGACAAGGGAAATTGGCATTAGGGTCATTGCCCACGTCAGTCGGCCCATCTGCGGAGAAATCGCACAGAAATAGCGCATGCACTATTGCGATACCACTGTGCAATGCAGGGACGTTGCGAGGGCCCATTGTAAATGGCTCGGCCCGCAGACGCATCAGACTTTTAGCCAAACCCCATAGCACTGACGCTGAACGCTCGGGTTCATGCGCCAGCACGCAGCTACCACCTCATGGTAAGCCCATCCTACTACGAATCGAAGGCAGCAAAGACCCCACAGATATACCATCTCATGCACTGCCACAAGAGACATCCAGAAAATGCCCACCAGCCTGTGGGACGCAGTTATGCCTCTGGTCAGCGGGGCAATGGAGATTTAACTAAAGACAGTTTTGCGTAAGAAAATTGATGGCCGCTGTCGTACAGGTGTCTGCACTGCGGCGGAGTATCCATATTCTCTTCGCCAGCAAGTAAAAAACAAGCGTGCGCAGTTAACACTGAACGCGCAAGGCAACTCAGTTCATTTTTTTCCTTTCACTGGAGCCCCCAAGAGTCAGAAATGACGCTTCAAAACTTACTGCATTTGTCACAGCGATGGCGCCGTAGATCCACGTTGGGTACATCAGGCGGCCTTGCATGCTGCACGGGAAACAAAAAGGTATACTCGAAGGAAAACAAAAAAATGTACCCAAGAAGCTAGGTATTTACTCGATCTTCATAGTGTACACAGTAGCAGCGCACGATGTCCCCTTTGCCAGTCTTTCAATACAGCAAAAGACTCTCGCGCGCGGATACTTGAGCCTAGAGGCTCTTCTGCAACTAGAACACCTCACATGTTCTTCCTTGTGCTGCAGCACCATTAAAAATTGAATGTGGAGCCTACATGCAACTAGCCAGCCGCTGTTACCTAATGTGGTACACGGCGATGCATTTACCGTATGAATCGATCCGGAGTTGGCAGGAGGCCCCAGTCCACCCGGACATCCCAGTATAGCATAAAGAGAGAGCCCAGACAATAAGAGAAGACCCACAGAAGGCACATGGCGTACACGCTCACACCTAAATCCAGCCTGAGGTGCGTAGACAAAAAGTTCACAAAAGAAAGGCAAGAAATAGCTAAGACATAGAGGTCGGGAAACAGATATTGTGCAATCTGACTACTGGATGGCTATAGGAGCCTCCCTTTACTTCTCTTGCCCACAGTGACAGAAGCATTCATGTCTGCGTGCTCTAAATCACATAAGCAGGGAGGTATACACGATAGGTGGATGTGATCGAGAAAACAACCATCCTAGCGCGCTACATGTTCGTTTACCAAGGGACGTTCGTCGTGATTAATACTAAAATGCCACAAGCATATTTTGCCATGTTCATCAAGTGAATTAGGCCACCTCCGGGCTCAGCTCCCCTAAACCTGCAGATCCACAAATGTGGCAGTCTCCCAGAGAGGAGATGGGGGCTAATCTCGAAGATAAAGACGCAGCAAGTACCAGGCCAGTCCTACAACCAAGGTAGTGCGAAAAAATTCCGCAAGCTCTGTTTTGCTAGCTGCACACCTCATGGATCATTTAGATAGTATCCTTGGTGCCGCCTTAAGTTCAAACTAAAGAGAAAAGACTAAGAAGCTCAGTGCAGGCAATCGGGCTCACCTGATGAAGCACTGGCACAACCGCAGGTAGAACGGTAGACCCAGTAGGACAGGCCTCACCAGTGAATCTCCTGTAGAAGTACGTGCAGCAGCAGTAGGGCAAAAACAGAAGACAGTAAAAAAGACCCTATCAGCGGATGCCCTTCAACAGCAAACCACCCGTGGACAAACGCATGAATAAAGAGGAACCTCACAAAAAGCGCTGGAGCACCCACCGTAGCACTGTGCAGGGCCAGTGTTGTCCATCCCTTTGCTGCAGCATCACAAAAATAGAAGCATTATCATGTGCTCAGCCGAGATATGGCGTGCCTCCATGCGGTAGGCGTTGGTTCACAGGCAAACAGAAGAAGCTATTTGAAACCGCACCACAGAATCAGTGACTCCACGAACCCTGGTAAGGGTACAAGCTGCAGAAGCAGCAGCTGCATACCTCAAGTAGCAGGCAAGGTACTGCAGGTCACCGAGAGGCTTGGCAAGGGAGGTAAGGACGTCCCCAATTATGTTTGCCACAAGCTTCACGTCGCGTACTGTAAATGCACTGAGACCCCAGCATCAGCAGCAAAAACGGCTACATTTCGACGGGAAAGCATGCGGTAATGCGAGTGCAGAATATTGGCTTCGAAAATAGATAGCAGCTGCAGGACACTAGCAATGCTAGTGTCTGGCCACCAGCTGCTGGTCGCTCTAATGGGAGATAGTGCGCTCACCCAGCCTTCAACACTGTGAAAAATGCCCCAA